CTCTGGGTTTCAAGGAAAAAACGGCTTCAGGCTATGAAAATACATGTCCTCTGGGATGAGAGCCAGCGAGCGTTGGCGTTATGTAAGATGCCATTACAAAGCGATGACTTCAGAGCGGATCATCATTGGATGGATACACACAACAACGTAACGGTCGGCGAACGGTCTTAGCATACAGGATTAGGCCACAGCAATTAAATTGTATGGATGACATCCTCCGCAGACTCCAAATCTAATGCGAGCGGGCGAAAAAAAGGACGGGCCGAAAAAAAACAAGGTTCCTACATTTTAGAATTTTGACGCAATCATTGTACAAATGGTTTTGATTCAGTGGGAACATCACATATACACAGCCAGCATGACATATCACTGGATCAAAGTAAGAAACATGTACAAAACATTAAATCATCAGAGACTTTTCGTGTCTCCTCTCTTCATAAGTATCTGCCATCCACCTTCCGGCAGGCATGGCAACTGACATCTTTGTCCATTTTCGGCATGTTGACCATTGTCACAAGGCAACAGAATTTCTTGTTTTTCTTGTCACACATTCAGAACCTTCAGATCACCTTATCTGAGTGCCCCATACATCGGCAGTCTTACTGTATTAGCGGAATGGAACATAACGCTTGACAAGATACCTACCGACGCTTTGGTTACATCATCTCGCGTTCAGTGTAAGCTCTCAAGGCAGAGCTTAAGTCCAAGGAGTGGCAATTCTAAGATTGTGTACGTGACTTACGTATACCTAGTCTATCTAGACCACACGTGTACTGAGTTCGATGTCTTCTGTACGTAATTTAGTGCTTTTAGACAAAAGTGCACAATAGGGCCGTTTTTCAGCTACAGCTATAACGTTTTGCCAAAAAACAGTTACTCAAACAACATCATATCCAGTTGCTTGAGTAACTGTTTTTTTGGCATATCGTATTACCTGGATGTCTAACCTTCATCGACGTAGCTATAACGTTTCGCTAAACGCACCCGCATGTTTTTTTTACTATGGTGCATTTTGAACCTTTTTTTATATATTCCAGCATTTCATGACCAGACACACTCAAGTTAACTTATTTTATGCCGCCACCGACGCAAATACAAGACAGGGCAATACTCATTTTTTTTTTACTTTGCCGTTACGCCACACGACCACATAACTAAACTGAAACATACTTCTTAATTGAAGTTGACTGAAGGTTCGGTTGCATTAAATGGAATGATGTCTTCTTCCAATCTGAGTCCTTGTGTGCACAGCTGAACGTAACTGTACCGGCTATGAACGAACTATTTGCTTCTGTCGTGAGAATCAGGAATTAGGGACGGCCCCAAAACCCTGACAGAGCCTTGTCGCCAGAGGGGGCGGTGTAAGACTGACTCACTTAACACGTCTCTTTTATAGCTGCACGTCGTAACGTCGGGATTAATACAAGGCGAAAATGCGTCCTCAGTTTAAAGGCATCCAATACAGTTTGGGGGCGGCAAAACTGGATTTCCAAAGTCAAGTTGATTTTCTGGTCATTCTTTCATAGTAGTGAGTTGAATCAACCTATCGCATATTGTGCTGATGTCTGTGAGGCAAAAGTACGATGTCGCGGACGGAGAACGTTTGCTTGTTTTGTACTGTGGGGTGGTTACTACTAATAGTAATAAGGAGGCACCTCACACACGTAGCTTGGTTTTGGGCTATTTCAAACGCTTCAAGTCTGAAATGATGACGAACATGTGCAGAAATGTAGGTAAATTTCAAATTTCAGACTAATTTCCTCATCCAGAATATCTATGCTTACCGAAGAAAACATATTGTTTGTGCCCTGTTTCCTCTTCTTCTCCAAACAAATAAGGTCAATGACCTGAACCAGACGTCTGTCACCATGGTAACTGGTGTTGGGTTACATCATGTTGGAATTTCATAGCAGGATTGAGACTTTTGTCACCATATATGAATGTGTTTGAGTAAGAATTAACAGAGCAGACCATATGCGAAGGTAAACATTATGTATTTGTTTTGCAAATGTTACTTTTAATTTCTATTTCTAATTTTTGTTTTGTTTTACCGCCCTGATATTACATTGGATGCCTCTTAAGAATGTTGTAAACATTGAAGTATCGGGTGATCCGATTGGCAGGCGCTTGGCGTACAGATGTCAGCGCGGTTCAGATCGCTGTGGCCTGGTAACGACGTCATTCACCTGCGGTTCCGGCGGCATCTGACATTTCAAACCGCCTCAGAGAGGAGCCTCTGACGCTGTCCGACTGTTTTCGCCAAAGAATCTAACCCCGAGGGCAACACAACGGCATCTTAGGGCTCTTCCTATCCTGCGTGTTAGCGGGAAAGATCGCTCTGAGTTGCCCTTGATATCGATGCATGTTGCCGGTTCTCTCAATCGGGGTCTTGACTTGTCCGCCAGCGGAACTTGATGACGCATAGCCGGGGTACGTATCGGCTTGCTCGCGGAGGCCCGCACGGTGTCTGGGGATGCATATAGCTATCGGAGGATTATCCAGGACATGACCGGACTGCGGCATTAGTATATCCCTATCTAACCGCCACGTGCGCAAACATACCTTCATTACGGGGACACCAGAAAGTGCGAAATGGAACAAAATAGAACGAAATGTAATGGAAGGAAAAATGTGACCTTAAGTTTTAAATACAAACGTGAGTGGTAAATAAATGATCTGATGTGTTTAATTTCTAAAACCTATTGGATACAATTTTGGGGTGTTTTTGTAGCTGATTTCTTTCATTGTATTGACACAATTGTACATGATTTTTTTCTCAAATTTCATTTCGTTTCATTTCGTACTTTCTATACAGCATTCATGACCAACCATTGAACAAGCACAGCACGGGAAGTCGTAAACAATACTCGGGAGGGAAGTACGAGGCTTCCGTGGCACATACAGGCCAACACGCTAAAACGTTCTGCGTTTCTCGCCCTGCACCTTGACGGCTATATATATTTTTTACACCACAAAACCAGGACAACCTGGTCCCTCTAGATTCGGCTTCGCAATTTTCTGCCAGGCGATGCATATAGCAGGTTTAGCTGGCCATGGTTTCACGGGATATGGCCAAACGAAGGAGGGGTTTAAACCCTAACACTTCAGCAGACAAGTAGTTTCTTGTCGTCAGGTGGTTGATTCTAGCTAGTAACTACTTACGACGTCTTCTAAGCTAGGCCTATAAGGCTATATAAGGCCAAGTAATTTTTATGGATGACACCAGCGCACGCCTGAATTTGGAAAAAAACATGAAATTTTGTTGCCTTCTGACAGTGGTCAACATGTCGAAAATGGGCAAAGATGTCTGTTGCCATGCCGGAAGGTGGATGGCAGTTAGATATGAAGAGAGGACTCTGATTAAATGTTTTGTTTCTTACTTTCACGCAGTGATATGTGATGTTAGCTGTGTATATGTGATGTTGTCACTGAGTCAAAACCATATGTACGTACAATGATTGAGTCAACATTTTAAAATGTAGGTACCTTTTTTTTGGCCCGCCCTGTTCTTTTTCGCCCGCTCGCATTACATTTGGAGTATGCGGATGGTGTCATCCATAAAATGTACTTGCTGTGGCCTAATTCTTAGCTATGCCTGAAAAATATGTCAGCCGTTGTATGTAAGTATCGCGTTGTTCGTGTGTCAGCATGTCAAGGAAAACACTTATCGATTGTGGCACTACAAACATCGATAACGTCAATCAAACTGGAGCTCACAGTGCACAAATTCTTTCACCGACAACCGCACTGTGTTTACACACAACCGTTTATACACACACACACACACAAACATGGGTCGGTGCCACAACAATAACTATTCATGCATGCATCCAGTGCAGTTTTTATGGCTTGAAAATCCGAGTTTTCAAAGCCAATAGTCCTGTCATTTATCTACATGCTGAGTTGAAATCACACTATCTTCAAATCACATATTGACCTTCATTGAGCATAAGTTCCCAAAATTCTGACGGAAGCTGGTTACTGGAAGGGCCCTGGGCTGATGTTTAGGGTACCACCAAGAAAATAAAGGACTCATGTTGGGGCTTGTTTCTGCAGTTATAAATGTCCAAAGTATGAAATACTGATTCAAATGCGAAGCAGTATGTGTCAATATCACAAAGATTGCCTTAAATTCAGAATACTTCCAATTCTGCTGCCCTCAAATCGCATATAGGGTGCCTTTAAGGGCACATAAAAAGATGCTACCGGTAAAAAATACAGACAGAAGCAAGCTTATTGTGGACTCCTGCAAATTTTATCACACAGAAAACCCGTCCCCTCTATACCTATGTAGCCATCTGCCGTTGCCCGGAGCAGGTTTATACTAGATACAGTTCACACAACATACAGGATACGGCGGAAGAGATAAATGAACAAAGGTGCCGGACGATTGACGTGGGTCGTGCCTTATCTTGTGTCTCTAGACAAACATGTTGATGGATGAAGAGTTGACGGTCGCTATGAGAACTCAGGCACGAGGGGAACACACCGCTATAGAACACCGTGAATACACGGCAGGTATACCGTCTGATACATATATGCATGCTATTTTAAGGGCTACTTGTTGCGGCTGTTACCCTCGTAACGTTTGGAGCAAAAGGAAAACAAAAGGCCGGGTGACCCCACTACAGACACACTTAACAAGAAATCAGCAACAGCAAAGAAAAAGATAGACAAGTGACGGCTTCCCTTTTATAAATCTAATTTTCTGTTTGCAGCATATGAAAAAAAAACGCACCAAGTATGAAACCAAACCATCCAGCCGTTCTTGTTGACCAACAGACAGAATGACAGACAGACAAACGCAACCGAAAATATAACCTCCGTGACATTTCACGGAGGTAACAATGCTTCATACAGCATATGGATGAAAACATAACTTATCAGATATTCTTGTCCAGTCTTGTTGTGGCGGTGTCGCAATTTCACGCTCAAGAGAGCCAACATGTGCATGGATGCACACGCATACATTGTAAAGAAAAAAACAAAAAAATTCCTACCACTCAGATTATCAGTGCTGCCCATGGACGCCAGGGTGGTGTCCCTCTCAAACTCCTGCACGGGTTTCTTCAGGAAGGAGCTCATTGTCGTGGTGCAGTCGCAAGTCGGTCGGGAGGAGGTCGGGGTGAGGTCCGCTGCACGGTGGTGACTGAAGAGAAAGTCGTGCTGCTGGAATGTCCCGCTATGTCAGGTGCGGTGATGCCGGCATCGCGGCACTTTTTTTTGTGTTTCGAGCTCAAACACTGCAACAACACGTCCGAGCACTAACCACTGCCCAGCTAGGACACCGCTTCGGACAGTCCAGAGTCCGCTTCTGTAAACCGGAGGTTCACAGCTGGACACCGAGCCGACTTTTCACCAACCTGACCCTCCAAAAAAACCTTCCGTCACCAGACGCAACGGCTCAGTGGAGCTCGCTCTCGGGATTAAAAAAAACGCCGGCCGGTGGTTGGTGAAAAAGTGAGTGTGACCAAAGGGGCAGAAGGCCGCATCCGGGTTGGGGATCGAGAGCAGTGACGTAAACCGGCCAGAGGATCCGGGTTCGAACCCCACAACTGTACCTAGCGGGAGCTGGCGGGGACTGAACCGCTGTTGGCACTTTCCTCTGGACTTTGGTTGCTGGGCGGAACCCTTTAAATATATATACATCCAGCCTGCCGTGGGTGGTGGGGCATACCATTGATCATAAAATAAGGGGTTTACTTCCCACGGTGGCCTCGTATAACCTTCAGGGAAAGTTCGTTAATGGTTCCTCGGCAAATCCAACAGGCAGTGACGGACTGACGTTACAGGCAGTTAGCCTCCTGTGCAGGCCTCCGGGCGGGTGGGAGTTTTGATACTGTGTTTTTTTAGAGTTTTTAACGCGTTCTTTTGCCGGCCACGACGGTGGTGGGTACAAACCTTCTCTGGGCGGCTGGTTGTAGGATGGCCGCGTTAAAAATTCTACAAAACGCAGTATCAAACTCCCACCCACCCGGTGCCTGCACAGGAGGCTAACAGCCAGTAGGGTAGGGCGGCCTTACAGGTATCCGATGTATTTTCAGGGAGGCAAAACTGGACTTTGAAAGTCAATTTTCTGGTCATTCTCTTACTCAGTCCTATCCCATTGCATACTGATATCTGTGAGGCAAAAAAAGTCTATGTTGCTGACCGTTGCTTGTTTTCTATCGTGGGTTGGTTCTACCTATTTAGGGTGGTACCCATAAATAAAAAGACGCTTCACGTAGCTTGTTTTTGAGCTATTTAAAGAAGTATGAAATGATGACGAAAATGTGTTAAAATGGTGGTAAATGTCAATTTTAGACAGAATATTCTTTATTGTTTTGCCGCCGTAAATCGTGCCGTTCAGCGAAATTTCTACAGGACACTACTTGCTCTTTGGTTTGGATAATGTCGACAATGCGTACTGAGGCCCTGCCTTAGTGCAGTGCCCATCTATACGATGTTGCTACTTTGTATGTGACATTGGGTTTAAGATAACTTACACATTGAAACAAACACAAGAATACAATCCTGGATATGTACGACCCGTAACACATCGCCCCAGCGTGTTAAGGACACATTGACCTTCCCGGGACAATTCTCCAAAAGGATTCACACGCCAGAAGTCCCATCTATGGTAATCATCAACGTGACGGCGGCGTCCACGGCTTGATTACTGGGATTAGCACGTCGCCAAATGTTGGGTTTCAGACCGTGAGAGACGTACAGAGAAAATCACAGTAGACAGAAAGTAACCACAGAGAGAAAGAAGACTGGAGATCTAAAACCTCTAAATATTTAGATCTTATGTAATGGTGACTGTGACCTCTATCAAGCTATCAAGGAGGTCATGTAACGAAAAAAAATCGTGAAAAATACTCCTCCGCAAGTTGAATCAGTCGACCTCCACGGAATATTTAGATCTTGTGTAATGGTGTCTACACGTCTTTCTTTATAGTTCACTAGCTGTACATGTCAGCTGTCAAGGAGGTCATGTAATGATAAACAACCGGGAAAAATACTCCTCCGTAAGTTTAATCAGACCTCCATTGAATATTTAGATCTTGTGTGATGGTGACTGTGTCCTCTTCACCATGGTGTATACAAGTCTTTTTTATCGTTCATTAGCTGTATATGTCAGCTGTTAAGGAGCTCATGTAACGAAAACCAACCGTTCACGAAAAATACTCCTCCGCAAGTTGAATCAGATCTCGGAATATCTAGATCTTGTGTGATGGTGACTGTCCTCTTCTCATCCTCTATGGTGTTTACACGTCTTTATCTTTCACTAGCTGTACATGTCAGCTGTCAAGAAGGTCATGTAACGAAAAACAACCGTGAAAAATACTCCCCCGCAAGTTGAATCACTTGTCGACAAAGGCTCTCCAAAGTATCTGTAGGCACCGTGAGAGTTTTTACATTAGGCGCCGCCGTAAGGGCACTATTAGCGCCCTGCGAGCCATAACCTTGAGCTGGCGACAAGAGCACTATAAAGTACGCCTTAAATGCGAGAAGAACATGTATTTGACAATGTGTGGGTGGTGTGAAGGCCACTCGCTAAAGCCACTGTTAGATCTGCTATGTCATTTGGAGATGGCATGGAAGACTGGTGGGGCGTGCGTTTAATGAAAAAAGACCTCTATTGTACATTAATGCCCTTACGAGCTAAACACAGGTCAAGGCGACAGTGATACAAGCCTGATATCTTACAAGATACTTCCAGCATATTAAATACACATGTATGTATAGGTTCAACTTCTTCTCGCTTCTTAAGAACAGTAAGAACAGACACAGCACGAAAACCGATATTTAAGCACACTTTCAGCAATATGTAAAGAACTATTAAAGGTGGGAAACATTTCAGTAGACTTTACGACTTGGTAAAGGCTGCAGAAAGGCAAATTGCGCCTTTCCGTCACCTTCCAGTGCGCTTAAATACGACGTAAATATAATTCATACCTTTAGGATTCCTTAACAAATCCGTAAATATGGAGCTTATATTGTTGGAACAATCATATGTTAACTACTGTTGACGCAAAATGACGCAAATTTCTGTCGTGCCATGAAGCATTCTAAGATTACATAGAAAAACATCCACATCTCTTCATTTCCTGTTATATAGTCTATCTACTTCATCATTTGTGAATTTTTTACGCTCATCGTAAAGTTTTAGTAAGTATATACTCAAGTCTGGCATTATGACATCCTCTCACCATTATCCAGATAGATGTATTTAGCGTTATTTTTATGAACAGTCTCTTTATTTGGTAAGCTGGCTGCATAAGTTAGACTTGGAATGGCTCAATCTCTAGACAACATCTGGTAGGCGCTGGGTTTATGGCTGAGTGTGTAAAAAATCAGTTTCAGTAGTTTCACGAGACTCACATATCCGAAGATAACATTGGAAATGCTGACGCAATACAAGACGTTAGGATTCCAAGAAAACCTCCCGGTAGGATGATCTCTTTTGTTTCGGTGTCTGTAAGGCCACAGCAAGTAGATTTTATGGATGAAACCCTCCGCATACTCCACATCTAATGCGAGAGGGCGAAAAAAACAAGACGGGACGAAAAAAAAAGGTTCCTACATTTTAAGATTTTGACTCAATCATTATACAAATGGTTTTGATTCAGTGGGAACATCACATATACACAGCCAGCATATCGCATATCACTGCATCAAAGTAAGAAACAAAAACATTAAATCAGAGCCTTTTCTTGTCTCCTCTCTTCATAGTTATCTGCCATCCACCTTCCGGCATGGCAACAGACATCTTTGCCCATTTTCGGCATGTTGACCACTGTCAGAAGGCAACAAAATATATATTTAAAAAAAAAAACAGGCGAAAATTAATGCGCGCGCTGATGTCATACATAAAAATTACTTGCTGTTGCAGCTGCTGATGCAATACAAGAAGGTAGGATTCCAAGAAGACGTCCCGGCAGGATGATCACTTTAAAATTAGTTTCGGTGTGTAAGTTATTGACCGAATCATTTTGTTTGGAACAAAACAATTAGGTTCCCAACAACCACAGTTCTGTACCGTCTTACTACATGTATAACGTAGGCGTGTAACATATTGTAATCAGTTCACCGTGAAGTTGTGATGACTTACATGTACAATCGTTTATGTAAATCCCCCCCAAAGTATTGAACGAGTGTTTCTGATGCATGGCATAGGACCGGTACGTTTCTCGGAAAGAGTCTCCTAAAAATCCTACTCTAAAAAGGATTAGGAAACGAGACGAGGTTGATAGAAGATCTTTAAACAGAACACTCGGCTAAAAGACTGGGTATGTAGGAATGGACTCCACAAATCAGGGATAAAAGTCAGAGTGCCATTTGTATTAGCTCAGTAGCTAGAACACTTTGTTTGCCCAGTATAGTACCCTTGTATGTTTCTTATGTATGTATGTATGTATGTATGGATAAGTCAAGCAGTGTATCTTTTGTGTCTCCACTTTTCTACATACGTCTGTAATGTGTCTGTTAAGTCTTGACCTGTACCTAGCCCGTCGTGGCATGAATGTACAATAAAGGTATTTCATCACCATATAATTGCAGCTACCGAAAAATCTGCTTGGAGACTAAAGCTACCTGGCAAAAATGTAACAGTAAAGGTAATGCGTTTTATCAGACATCTATGGAAGTACTATCAGCATATGTACATATTAACAAGATTAGCTGACTACTAGGCATGGGGATAGGATTAACCTTCAACTACATTGACTACATGCATCGGCAAGACAATTAAAGCTATACGCCTTCCTTATAACACATTCGAGATTTGATCTTTATCACACGGAAGTTATCAGCGAAATGGCCCAGAAAATATTGGACCATGAGAGGAACCTTTGAAATCTGAATTACATTCCACCCACACCAAAGAGCGCTATCGCTCTTTGCAGCACGACGAGGATATTTTGCTGCAAAGGTTAGAACACAAAGGGGAATAACCTATGTATATAATACGGCTACCACACAGGGTAACACTTGGAAGCTGCAAGCCTTTTTTTTCCTTTTTTTATCCACATATATTTATTAGGTATTGGGCAAAAAGCACAAGTTGCTTATATGACAACTTCTACTCAAAAACATACAACGAGTATAAAACACATGGACAAAATACAAGTTGGGTAAAACCAAGATAAATACAAGCAAGACAAGTTGGTGATCTATTAATTACGAGAATCTACCTTACAGTAAATGAAGTTTTGAACTACATCGAAAACGTTACGGTTTTGTAGGTGTGAAAAAGGTGTGGACCCTGAAAGTAGTAAAGAACATAGGGAACTGTCATTGAGATGCTGTAGCTCTACTATGTTGGAGAGAGATGATAACAGAGTGGCTGCAAGGCTTGTCCTGTCGCGTCAGCGCTCCTGAGGCAGATGCTGTGGGTGTCACAAAAAAAACTACCGAGGAAGTTAGAGACAGGTCGACTGAGCCAGTTATAAGAATTTACTGGGTGCTTTATTGTGTGCTTTATTAAGCACATAACTCGGATGCACGGAACTTGCAATTGGAAAGGGATACATACTCAGTCACATACTGACCCAATCCACGTGAGTTTTATCACAGGTCAGGCTAGTAAATTTATAACCACCCACACTA